AACAACTACAAATAATGGGTTACGGTCCCTAATTTAGGGTTACATTTTCTATTCTCTTAATCCTCATTTAAAGAGATTCCAAAAAGGAGAGACCCTCAAGATTAGAAGATCAAACCCTAATTCAGATCCGTGCAAATTCTTCATGGATTCAGGTATTGCTTCCGCTCACTGTTGTGTTTATTCTCTTTGAATTAATCATGATTTTATGGATTAGATCTCAGATATTTAGATCTCACAATTTAAACTTTTTCTTCTTCGATGTTCAAAATTCTGTGAAAGTGGACTAAAAATTGATACCTACACTAAATGTGACATAAAAAGTAAGTGAGAAGAGAGCAAAAGGTAGATGCAAATAATGTTAATTGACCATTACGTTTTTCCACTTTCGTCCAGATAGATGGAAAGAAAATAAAAAATAGTGTCTTAATTCCTCTTTCAATCTTTGAAATTAAGAATGGAAATAAATAACAAAGAATTTGAAGGATGAAAATATATCTAGTTAACTTAGCTTTCTAGTTGTTTTTTTAATAACTCTTCTCGGACTATGTTAATTTTTAAAACAAATTCAGAAAATATTTCTCCCACTTTCTCTTATACACATGCCCTATTCTTTCATAATATACATTATTAATTCTTGTGATCTTGCAGCTAACATCAATTTATGGAGTGCAAATTATCAGAATCAGAATAGTTCGGATTATCTATACCATTCACAATGGTTGATGGGTTAGTTGGAAAATTTTAGTTTTTCTATTTATGATGTAAACGACCGCCTTATTTTTATAAGGATGTTTTGATAGGATTTCTATTCTAACTAATGTCATTGCAAAGAATATCTCTCCAAGGAAAAAGGGTTTCTAATATCACTTTGCGGAACTACTACATGAATATATATCATGCCAAATATTACCCGCAAATGTTGTAGACATATATAACTAGATTCTTAGATTTTCAGAAGCATCTTAATAGTCTAACCAAAACCATGTAGAGATGTCTATTATTGTCTTTGTATACTGAGAAGTAGCCTTAATGTCTATTATTGTCTTCGTATACTGAGAAGGATCTTAATAGTCTAATCAAAGCCATGTAGAGATGTCTATTATTGTCTTCGTATACTGCATTTTGTTTAAGGGCATCGTCCACGGCCGATAGAGATTCCTTCTGTTGTGGGTGAAAAATGGTGATTGAAGAGATTTTGGTGGAGAACTAGTTTCAAGCCCGTGTGATGCACGGATTTGTCTAATATATAAAAAATGATATAGCAAAAGAATGCAAAATAAAACAGTAATAATAGATAAGTAGTAAGAAATGATACAACCTAAGCACGTGTCAAGTATATATATCTATGAATCAAAACAATAATGATCAATATAGTGATAAACAAAATATCTATCATAATCATATCAAGTTGTTAGGTTTCTCAACGCAAAACCACCAAAAAAAATATGTAGTGCATACAAAAGTTTACTAAATAAAGTTTTAGACCAAAATACTAAATATAAGTTCCATACATCATAAATCAGATTGAGATTTTTTAGAAAAGGGCTTGAACTCTCTGTAGAATATTTTAATTCTCCTTTTCTATTTTGATTTGTTTTTGCTTTTTGTTGCTAGACATTTGCGTAGAGATCAAGTCTATTGAAACTGAGTGCTCGACATCAGATTCCAACGAATTTCTCTTGCAAGGAGCAATGTTATCCGACAATGATGCCTGTGTTTCAGTATAACATAATAATTAGCATGTTATTGAGGTGACAAGAAAGGATTGTTGTACAATTAATGTGAAGAGTCAAGAAATTAATAATAAAGCGAAAAGAAATAGGCAATCCAAAGTGATAATGATGAATGTTGTAGCCAGAAAAAGATACTACTGAAAAAGATATTAAAGAATACAAACATGAGGAATGAAAAAGAAAAGCAATACTAAGTGTATTGACTTACATTATCAAGATCATCTTTCTTTTTGTAAGATTCAACTTCATTAGTGAAATATTATTGACATGTCGACTCCTAATGATTTAGAAGGAAAAAATATTAATAATATATTGCTCAACCTCATATATATATATGCAGATTGATACATGAAATATTATGAAGCTTTTTGGGAAGAAAAAATACCTCTCAATATCTGGTAACGCGCACAAACCTCTACAACCTTCAGAAAATTTTTTAGATGTGTGAATAATTATCACAAACATGCATTTGTGAGGTCAGAAAAACCTATAACATATGTTTAGGAAGTTTTCGGAAAATGTCCAAATTATAATGCTTTTTAAAATAACATATATGTTTGAGAAGTAGGTAACCGGTATTCGAGTGGCGTTCAAAGATGCGATAATTCTAAGTTATGTGATTTTCTAAATAAATAATCTCTAAAAAAACACAAAAATTCTATTAAGAACAATTTCTTTGGTCATCTCAATAAAAAAGAACAACTACATAATAAATTTTTACTTAGTTTTGGACACTAATCGGCGTATAGATTGCAGCATGTTCGGTTGCAGATTAGTAGTTTGGAACAAACATGACGCCACATAGAAATTGGAAAGAAAAACTATTTATACAAAAGATATTAACATAGAAAGTAATGTATTGTGGCATGAAGGTCCACATACAAATTGGAAAGAAACATGCAATTCAAAATTTAACATTGATCACAGAAGGGAGAAATACTGAAAAAAAAAGTAATAATTAAACATGACATAAAACAGGCTATTTCGAGAGGGTTGAATTCAAGTTGATACGAAATTCCTTACATGTGAATGCATTAATAATAATCACCACCTGTAATAATGTCTTGTAATAATAATCACCACATGTAATAATATCTTGTAATATATCGAGACGACATACTATTACTCCTGATAACACAACTTCAGCAACAGATCTCTCACAAGAACTGTAAATTGTCAAAAGACTTTTAAGTTTACAGCCATGCACTTCAAAAAGTACTTATAACTAACTTTATTGCTCCATACATGGGAAATATTATGCTAAAAGAGCACATAATTGAAACTCCCATCCTTATAACTAATATCGACATGATTACCACTTCTGTAAAAAACCAAGTAATTAAAGACCAAAGCTGTTCAAACTTCATCAGTATTAAACTACAGCAAAAGATAATAAAAATGATCGGGGGCAATGAAACAATACCAAATACCCCTTGTTGTAAACATCAAGATAATGAGATATTTGGTCCTCTTCTAGGATTGTTAAGAACAGGAAATGGACAAATAGATGCGAGACAAGTCAACAAAACAAAAACCCACCAGCCTAACCAGTTATAACATAGTGACGCAAGGTTGAAGACCCATGTGAATAGTTAGTTCCACAAAAGAATCTAGCAAGCTCATAGTTACCGAAGCAAGGAACAATTATTGACAGGTAGATAACACACCATGCAGAATGGTAAACCTACATATATACTTCCAATTATAAGCTAACAGCGAGCTGGAAGTGTCATCATATAGTACATTTAAAAAAAACAACAGCATCTTGAGAAAAGCTCCTAGCAAGATGATTATCACAGGTTTACATACCAAAAGATCTGTAAGTTTCAGCACTGCAAGCTATATTGATCTGATGAGGACATCCAGGCACGTGCACGGGACTTTCGCCGTGTTTATCAGCGTAGGAGACACCGTATTCCAGCCGTACATCAGATCGCAGGGATATGGTTTTGATACTTTAGAAATTCTAGTTATTTTCAGTTAGTAGTTTGTTTCAGATCAGAATTGTTATTAGTTATTTAGTTTGTTATTGGATAAGATTTAGAGAGATTTGATTGAGTTTTTAAATTCTGTAATATTCTCTATATAAACAGTTGTAATCAGAATTAATGGATCAATGAAAATTATTAAAATTCAGTTGCAATTACCTGTGGCTTGAACGTGTGAAACGGTGTGAAACCCTAGATCGCCGCTTCCCCTCTTTCTGTTCAAACAACCGCCGCCGCTCCTTCCTCTGTCAAGCCGCCGCCTCCGTCCTCCACCTCCGACAGTAACCCCGCCCTCAACCACGCCGCCAGTCCCGAGTTCGACCCCTCTGAAGACCATTCACGCCCCCTCGCCCTCGTCTTCGTCTAACCGCCCGCCGCCCTCGTCGTCGTGGACCCGCGACCACAATCGCCATCGCGATTCCGTCCCCATCGTCGTCGTGACTCCCTGCCCTGTTGTTTGCTCGCATCGTCAACCGTCGCCCTAATTTCCTCAGGTCGGAGATCGCAGTTGACTCAGATTTTCGGGTCTGGGCTTTGCACAGGCCCAACTCCTTTATAATTGGATCAGGTCTGCTCGTTCAGACCACTTCATTTCACTGTGTGGTCTATTTTGGTTCAGTTGGTTCAGTTTGTTTCAGTGTGATTTAAGTCTTGAGTCGTGATTCATTGGTGTATGGCTGACCCTGACGCTGAAGACAACGACCTCGTGCTTGACCCAGAGACTGGTATTATTGATCTGCAGCTTTCTTCGTGGTTCGATTACCGGACGTCCGAGAGTGTTCCTGAATACGTCGAACACGTGACTCATCAGCTTGTAGACAGTGTGGAGAGCAGTTTGGGAATTAGTTCTTGGCATCGACGTTTTCATCCAGACACGCCACTTCACCCCAATTACGTAGCTCTCGGAGGAGAACTCCCGCCACTCAGATTTGGAGTTTTTACACCGCCTCCAGAGGATCCTCCCATCGAACCAGTCCAACCCGACGAAGGTTTAATTTTCTTACGCCCAAGTATTTTCGGAATTGCCATTGTGTGCATGTTATTCTCAATCTTAGTATCAATTGCCATTATGCTGTATTCAGTTTGAATAGTGAGCGAGTGATTCTGCTGCTGAGTATTTCTGCTTGTCTAAATATTACAAATTGAACTGTATTAAGAGAATAAATCATTACATTAATTATCAGAATAATTTTACAAAGGTTCAAACTTAGTACATTGCAACTTTTGCTTAAAACCCATCATTCGCTTCATTAGAATAATTTTACAAAGGTTCAAACTTAGTACATTGCAACTTTTGCTTAAAACCCATCATTCGCTTCATTTTATTCTTGAACTTCCTGCCTAGATTGATCGATTGCAACTTTTGCTTAAAACCCATCATTCGCTTCATTTTATTCTTGAACTTCCTGCCTAGATTGATCGTTGTTTTGGTGAAGCATTGTTGTCACTGATCTTGCACCTGCATTCACATTGTTTCACATCATTTTTGGTATCAGAGCATGGTTCTAGGTTAGGAATTTTATCTTATTTTTAGGTTAGGAAATTGTTTTAGTTAAGTCTTTATAAAAAAAAATTCTCATTAGCTGTTAGTACACACATTTCATCTTTTTAGCTGTAGTGCATGCCCACTCGTAGGTTTACCCTATCGATTAGGAGAGTCAAGTGAGTCAACTAGTGAGTCCAGCATGTCAAGCAACACATATCCCGAACTCCTTAAGCAAATCGCTGAGTTAGCACGACAAATAGGTAATTTAGCCCAGGAGAGCCAAGCGACCCGCGAGATCCTGAATGACAATAACGAGAGATAGCGAGGCTCGAAGAAGCACGTGTTGCAACTCCTCCGCCGAACGATCAAGGCTTTGGACCCATCGCCCCACCACCACAAGGCCAAGGTTATGGACACTTCGTTCATCGACCCCCACATCAACCTGTACCTGACCCGGAAGCACAATACTTGAGGAGCATTAAGGTCAGCGCACCAACCTTTGACGGCAAGCTCGACCCTCAAGCTTTTTTGGACTGGCTAAAGAACATGGATCGCTACTTTGATTGGTACGCCCTGACGGAACCCCAAAAAGTCAAATTCGCAGCTATGAAACTCACCGGACCCGCCTGCCAATATTGGTCCAACCTCGAAACGCTAAGGGCCTGCCAATATTGGTCCAACCTCGAAACGCTAAGGCATATTAGAGGTGAGTTACCAATTACAACTTGGCGAGAAATGGCAGATGAACTGAAACGAAAAATATTAGAGGTGAGTTACCAATTACAACTTGGCGAGAAATGGCAGATGAACTGAAACGAAAATACCTCCCTCCATCGTTTTATCATAGACTGTTAGACAAGTGGCATCGTCTCACTTAAGGAACCAAGTCTGCGAAAGAATATGTTGCACAATTCGATGAATTGTTTACTCGATGCAGCACCATTGAACAAGAGGCACCAATGAAGGTCTTGTCAAAGTTTAGGGCTGGATTGAGAAATGACCTCCAAGCTGAACTCTTTGCTAGAGGAATAGACACCTTTGAGAGGGCTTACGCATTAGTTCAAGATTTAGATGAAGCCAAATCCCATAGGAATCAGGACTTTAGAACTTATTCCTCCCCGTCTTCCCATGCCACTACCTCTAGTCAGCCTCCGAGTCGATCTAACCCTAGTTCTTCCTAGCCTAAAGTCGACCCCAAAGGCAAGGAGCCGGAGAGAGATTTCTCCAAGATCGGCCCTCACGTCAAGTGCTATAAATGCCAAGGGTATGGACACGTTGCTGCGAACTGTCTGACCCGTCATAAGGTTGCTATAATTGATGGACAATACGAATTTGAACCTGAGCTCGATAGCGACGAGTTTATCCATCAAGTTGACGATGATACCGATGATTTCGGGGATGAGGCAGATGATACTGTCTTAGGTTGTCTTAGGCAAATTGAAACTCCTACCGTATCAGTCGTCAGATGCGCCACCTCCTAATCTAAGACTGTTGATGATTGGAGACGTACCTCCATTTTCCATACATTCACAAATGACCTCCAAGCTGAACTCTTTGCTAGAGGAATAGACACCCTTGAGAGGGCTTACGCATTAGTTCAAGATTTAGATGAAGCCAAATCCCATAGGAATCAGGACTTTAGAACTTATTCCTCCTCGTCTTCCCATGCCACTACCTCTAGTCAGCCTCCGAGTCGATCTAACCCTAGTTCTTCCCAGCCTAAAGTCGACCCCAAAGGCAAGGAGCCGGAGAGAGATTTCTCCAAGATCGGCCCTCACGTCAAGTGCTATAAATGCCAAGGGTATGGACACGTTGCTGCGAACTGTCCGACCCGTCATAAGGTTGCTATAATCGATGGACAATACGAATTTGAACCTGAGCTCGATAGCGACGAGTTTATCCATCAAGTTGACGATGATACCGATGATTTCGGGGATGAGGCAGATGATACTGTCTTAGGTTGTCTTAGGCAAATTGAAACTCCTACCGTATCAGTCGTCAGATGCGCCACCTCCTAATCTAAGACTGTTGATGATTGGAGACGTACCTCCATTTTCCATACGTTCACAAAGATTAGTGATAAAAATTGTAAAGTGATCGTGGACAGTGGAAGCTGCATTAACGCGGTCTCCTCAGTAGTAATCACTAAGCTTGGTCTTAAAGTTGTACCCCATCCTAATCCATATAAAGTATCATGGATTAACGACACCGCACTCAATGTCCAAGAGAGATGTTTAGTCCCTCTCCAATTTTCCATTTATAAGGACAAAGTTTGGTGTGATGTTCTGAAAATGGATGTGGGTCAAGTTATTCTTGGAAGACCCTGGCTATTTGATAACGACGTTCATATCTTCGGGCGATCCAATATGCTATTATTCGAGCATGACGGGAAGAAGGTCAAGATCCTTCCGGTTCAACCGAAAGGTAATGACAAGAAGCCCGATCCAAACAAGTTTTCCCAAGGCGTTAATCTAATTGGAGCTAAAGAGATTAATCGTGAACTGTCCAATGGAGCTCCCATTTTCGCCCTCGCCGCTAGAGAAGCTCCTAAAGATATTGCTAATACAGCTCCCCCAGAAGTCGCTCCTGTGTTGGAAGAATTCTCTGACGTCTTCCCTGAGGACCTCCCGGACCAGTTACCTCCGATGCGTGATATTCACACGCAATTGATTTAGTCTCGGGAACAACCCTTCCTAATTTGCCTCACTATCGAATGAACCCCAATGAGCATGCAGAGTTGAAGAGGCAAGTTGATGAGCTGCTGAAGAAAGGCTTTGTGAAAGAAAGCATGAGCCCTTGTGCGGTTCCCGCATTATTAACGCCCAAGAAGGATGGTACATGGCGTATGTGTGTGGATAGCCGTGCAATCAACAAGATCACGGTGAAATATCGTTTCCCCATTCCCCGGTTGGATGACATGCTTGACTTAATGTCTGGAGCCACCATCTTTTCTAAGATTGATCTTAAGAATGGCTACCATCAGATTCGCATCCGTCCTGGTGACGAATGGAAGACCGCTTTCAAGACGAAAGACGGATTGTATGAGTGGATGGTCATGCCCTTTGGCTTGACTAACGCTCCGAGCACTTTTATGAGAGTGATGACTCAAGTACTCCGCCCCTTCACAGGAAAATTCTTGGTGGTGTACTTTGACGATATCCTTATTTACAGTAATTCTCGCGAGCAACACGTGGACTATCTGCGTCAAGTCTGTGCCGTGTTAAGCAAAGAGCAACTTTATGCCAATCCTATGAAGTGTACTTTTCTTACACAACAAGTCATTTTTCTAGGATTCGTGGTCTCGTCTGAAGGAGTATCCGCTGACCCTGAAAAGATTAGAGCTATTGAAGAATGGCCCGAACCCAAGAACATTAGAGACGTTCGAATCTTTCATGGACTCGCTACTTTTTATCGTCGGTTTATCAAGGGCTTTAGTACCATCATGGCCCCTATTACCGATTGCTTGAAGAAAGGTGAGTTCGAGTGGTCAAAAGCTGCTACCAAGGCATTTGAAGAGATCAAGCAAATGATGTCGTAGGCTCCTGTTATGCGCCTGCCCGATTTTTCTAAAGTCTTCGAAATTGCGTGTGATGCCTCTGGTATTGGTATAGGTGGAGTCCTATCTCAAGAAGGACATCCCGTTGCTTACTTTAGTGAGAAGCTGAATGATACTAGGCAACGTTATTCCACCTATGATAAAGAGTTCTATGCGGTGATACAATCTCTTCGACACTGGCGTCACTATCTGCTACCACAAGAATTCGTCATATATTCTGACCACGAAGCTCTTCGATATATTCACTCCCAAAAGAAGTTGAACGCTAGACATGGTCTATAGGTTGAGTTCCTCCAGGATTATACCTACACGATCAAACATAAAGCGGGAGTAGAAAACAAGGCCGCCGACGCACTCAGCCGCCGCATGCACCTCCTCTCCATTTTGAGTGCGGAAGTCACCGGCTTTGAGAAAGTTAAAGACCAATATGAATCGTGCCCTGATTTTAGCGAAGTTTATACTTTGCTGAATGATGGAGTGACCCGTGAGATTGATGGCTTTCTCCTGAAGGATGGATATCTTTTCCATTTTCGCAAGTTGTGTATTCCCGACACCTCTCTGAGAGAATTCTTGATTTGGGAATTACACACTAGAGGTCTTGCAGGACATTTTGGGAATAACAAGACTGTCGAAGCAGTTGAGTGTCGTTTCTATTGGCCAAGTATTAAACGTGACGTTGTTAGGCTAGTGGGTCGATGTCACACATGTCAACTAGCTAAGCAACGTAAACAGAACACTGGCCTGTATACTCCTCTTCCTGTCCCAAATTGTCCCTGGCAAGATATCAGCATGGACTTCGTGTTAGGACTCCCAAAGACCATTAGAAAACACGATTCTGTCCTTGTTGTTGTGGACCGATTCTCCAAAATGGCCCACTTCATACCGTGCTCCAAAACTTCTGATGCTTCTCATGTAGCCAAGTTATACTTTAATGAAGTTGTTAAACTGCACGGGCTTCCGAAAACAATTGTGTCTGATAGGGACGTTAAATTTACTAGTTATTTCTGGAAAACCCTTTGGCACAAAATGGGAACTAAGCTTCAATTCTCGACAGCGTTTCATCCCCAAACGATGGTCAGACTGAAGTAGTCAACAGGAGCTTAGGGAACCTATTGAGATCGCTAGTAGGCGAAAATCTTAGGGATTGGGATCAACATCTACCTACTGCTGAATTTGCTTATAATAACTCTGTTAATAGGTCTACAGGTGTCAGTCCAGCTGAAGTAGTGTATGGTTACAAACCTAGACAACCTATAGATCTTGTCCCCGTGTCTGCACATCACAGAGTATCTGAGTCAGCATCTGCATTTGCATCTCGCATTCATGACTTGCATAAAGACATCAGTATAAAGATAATTGACAGCAATACTAACTATAAAATGCGAGCAAATCTAAGAAGGAGGTTTAAAGAATTTAGTGTAGGCGATTATGTAATGGTCCGGATACGTCCGGAACAGTTTCCTCCGGGAACTGTTAAAAAGTTACATGCACGAAGTGCAGGACCTTTTAGAATTCTCAAGAAAATTAATGATAACGCTTATGTTCTCGACCTTCCTGAAGGTTTTAATATTGGTTCGACTTTTAATATTGAGGATTTAGTAGAGTACAAAGGCCCACATTTTAACCCTGATAACCCACTGGTTGATGAGCCTACCCCTGAGCCTATTTCTGAGAGCTCCCCTTTACCTCCACTTCCCCAGATATCACCTACATATACAGTACATGACATTGATGCTATTATTGATGATAACATTGTTTCTACTAGCAATGGTGGTATCCGCAGGTATTTGGTTCGTTGGAAAAATAAACCTGAGTCTGATGATACTTGGCTCGATCGAGGTGATTTACAGAGGCTGGATCTAGATCTTCTTGAGCAGTATGACAGCCGTCGTGATTTACACTCGACAGGGTCGAGTTCTCTTCCACCTTGGGAGAATGATGAGAACATCCAGGCACGTGCACGGGACTTTCGTCGTGTTTATCAGCGTAGGAGATGCCGTATTCCAGTCATACATCAGATCGCAGTGATATGGTTTTGATACTTTAGAAATTCTAGTTATTTTCAGTTAGTAGTTGGTTTCAGATCAGAATTGTTATTAGTTATTTAGTTTGTTATTGGATAAGATTTAGAGAGATTTGATTGAGTTTTTAAATTCTGTAATATTCTCTATATAAACAGTTGTAATCAGAATTAATCATGAATGAAGATTATTGAAAATTAGTGCAATTACCTGTGATTGACATGTGAAACGTGGGTGTGAAACCCTAGATCGCTCCCCTGTTTCTCTTGTGTTCAAACAGCCCAGCCGCCACTCATTCCTCTGTCGAGCAGCCGCCGCTCCGACGTCCTCCTCGACAGCAACCCGCCCTCAGCCATGCGCCAGTCCGAGTTCGACCCCTCTGAAGACCATTCACGCCCCTCGCCGCTCATCTTCGTCTAATCGCCGCCGCCCCTCGGTCGTCGTGGACCCGCGACCACAATCGCCATCGCGATTCCGTCCCCATCGTCGTCGTGACTCCTGCCCTTGTCGTCCAGCTCGCATCGTCAACCGTCGCCCTCGTTTCCTCAGGTCGGAGATCGCAGTTGACTTAGATTTTCGGGTCTGGGCTTTGCACAAGCCCGACTCCTTTATAATTGGATCAGGTCTGCTCGTTCAGACCACTTCATTTCACTGTGTGGTCTATTTTGGTTCAGTTGGTTCAGTTTGGTTCAGTGTGATTTAAGTCTTGAGTCGTGATTCATTGGTGTATGGCTGACCCTGACGCTGAAGACAACGACCTCGTGCTTGACCCAAAGACTGGTATTGTTGATCTGCAGCTTTCTTCGTGGTTCGATTACCGGACGTCCGAGAGTGTTCCTGAATACGTCGAACGTGTGACTCATCAGCTTGTAGACAGTGTGGAGAGCAGTTTGGGAATTAGTTCTTGGCATCGACGTTTTCATCCAGACACGCCACTTCACCCCAATTACGTAGCTCTCGGAGGAGAACTCCCGCCACTTAGATTTGGAGTTTTTACACCGCCTCCAGAGAATCCTCCCATCGAACCAGTCCAACTCGACGAAGGTTTAATTTTCTTACGCCCAAGTATTTTCGGAATTGCTATTGCGTGCATGTTATTCTCAATCTTAGTATCAATTGTCATTATGCTGTATTCAGTTTGAATAGTGAGCGAGTGATTCTGCTGCTAAGTATTTCTGCTTGTCTATATATTACAAATTAAACTGTATTATAAGAGAACAAATCATTACATTAATTATCGGAATAATTTTACAAAGGTTCAAACTTAGTACATTGCAACTTTTGCTTAAAACCCATCATTCGCTTCATTTTATTCTTGAACTTCCTGCCTAGATTGATCGCTGTTTTGGTGAAGCATTGTTGTCACTGATCTTGCACCTGCATTCACATTGTTTCACATCATGATCTCTCCAACAGTCCAATATGTTTCCAGTTTAAAGCTGACATGTCCCATAACGATAAAGAGGATATCATCTATATGATGCAACGAAATATTTATATGGCATACAAAAGTTTCTGATTACAGGAAGGTTCTTGGATATATGTTGTTCCTATTGAAATAAAGGACTTGTTAGTGTATACGAAGGAAAGATACAACAATCCGAAGATCCATATCATGGAGAATGGTTAGTATTTATTATAAAACGCAGTTACATGATTGTTTACAAAAAATCTTAGAAGATTGGAACAAATGAACACTATCTTTCATGAGAACTTAGTAATGAATTGTTCAACCATTATATTGTTCTGCTTAGTGGTAAATGGGTAGATTGCAAATAATCCCCCACATCTATATTTTCACTAACAATTATCATCCCTCAATTATTTTGCTAGCGTTACCACCTTTGAATTATAGTTAAATAGCTTGCATCAAAATAAAAAATGCAAAACCATAATAGATTTTGACAGTATCCTCAATTTTGACCAATCATTTAATTTTAAGGATAACTTTCACAACTGACTTCTTATAAATGACAGAATACACTCCAACACTAAAGTTTTGCATAAATACCTAGCTAACATTTAGGGGAATGGAATTTACTTAACTTTCCTTGTCTTCTTCCTACAGGTTTCCCTTAAACTTCCCCTACTCTTAATGAAACTGAAACATGCACATGTGATTACTTGGATAAACATGGTCACTGTTTATATTCTAATAATGGATATGTCTTTGATAGAAATAATCTTTTTCCTTGCTTCTTTGCTCAAAGGTATTTGATATATTGAACCTAAAGAATTTGTGACTCAGCAATGACAGTAATAATAGTAAGGGACTAATAATGCATGTTGATCGCGAAGAGGATCCGATGATGAACTTAAGATAAACAGTCGGGCAAGACTGAAGTTTCTTGGATAAACTTGGAGTCTAAGGACATGTAGATGATTATTATAATAGTGGATGTTGATTTCAATAAAAATTATCTTTTTGAATCTACAGAATTTGGGACTTAGCAACAAATTATTTGTTTGGATGGACAATATGAATAATACTTAGAATTACTAAAGGAAAAGTAATAAATGCAATAGTTAGTCTGATTACAACCTATTTATATTACATTATGTTTGGAGTTTTGATATAGTAGCAAAAATGATAAGAAAGGTAGTATAGTATGGAAATAATGAGTACAATTTTACAGTTTCCAAGAGTAATCACCTAACTTTATGACCTAAAATTAAAACTTGTGAATAAACACGAGTTAAGTTAAGACTCAATACCTAAAATTAAAACTTGTGAATAAACACGAGTTAAGTTAAGACTCAATAATGTGGATAATCATTTTTATTAGCAGTATAGTATGAAAGGATAAGGAGAGCAACTATATACTTAGCTGCTTGTTCATCTTATTAAGGTTTTTTTAACAAATCTAAAATTTACCCCTATTTTGCATTATGGTATCTAAATTTATCCCTATTATTTAATTGGATTGTCAATTACTAATGCTTTAACTTGGTACTGATGACCAACTTACTATGTCAGATATCTACTTAGAGATCTCAATATAAACCATAAAAAATTGTTATATAGGTTAGTTTTTGTGTGTGTGTGTGTCCATAAAAGGAAAAAACATAAGTATCTTACATAACATACTCATTCAAAACTAAAATAAAAACTTGGAAAATTAAATACTTAATGTAGATATTTGCAAGGCAAAGCCAACTCCATTAATTGAAATCCAAGTAGCGAGTATTGTCTTTTACAATAAACATCCCTACTGTGAGCTAAAAACATGAGAAACATATAAAACAAAAGGTTTGTGAATTTATAACACCCTTAACATTGGGACAATACCATTAGAAGTTCCGTTTGTTCCACGAATATAACTGCCCATTGCACGAATATTGTGAACAGAAACACCAATTCCTCCAGCAGATTTGCTTATAACAGCACACTCCTTGAGAGTGTCATATATGCCCTCGATACTATCATCTCTCATACAAATAAGGAAGCAGCTGCTTAACTGGCAACATACAATTCCACTTGAATCAGAGGATAATTTCAAACTACCTTCAACTCATAAAAATAAATAAAAGGAAAAAGAACAATACCTGGGGACGAGGAGTGCCAACATTAAATAAGGTAGGAGAAGCATGTGTAAACCACCGCTGTGACATTAGATGGTATGTTTTGACAGCAGAATCAATATCTTCCTTGTGAATTCCAACAGCAACTCTCATCAGCATGTGTTGAGGTCTTTCTACAATACATAGTACATTAAATCCTCACCATATAGTAGTTGAAATAAGATCCACCTTTCTGTATAAACTGTGCAAAATAGCAAAGGCCACATGCCATCTCAATAAAAAACACAAACATTTGTGAGTACATTTTGCTCATCTCATTTTCTAAATAAATAATCTTTAAAAAAACAAAAATTCTATTAAGACCAATTTTTGTGGCCATCTCAATAAAAAGAACTAATTAATAAATTTTTACTTAGTTGTGGACACTTATCGGCGTATAGATTGCAGCATGTTCGCTTACAGATTAGTAGTTTGGCAAAAACATGAAGCCACATATAAATTAGAAAGAAAAACTACTTATACAGAAGATATTAACATAAAAAGTAATGTAATGTGGCATGAAGGTCCACATACAAATTGGAAAGAAATATGCATACCAAACCTTAACATCGATCACAGAAGGGAGAAATACTGAAAAAAGTACTAAATAAACATGATATAAATCAGGCTGTTTCGACAACTACAACATAACAATTGTAACTCCAGCACCACACATATCTATGGCTCGTAAAACCTTGTGCAATACAGTTCTCCTATATTATTCCATGATATTGAGCCACAATTTTTGGTGAACTCTTATAAGCATAAAATTCCAGCATAGTCACAATATATTGATAACCAAAACATGAGCTAAAGGCATCTTCCTAATTTGGTGGAGTAAGAAATTTCCTAAGATAACTGCACACCATTCAAATTTTTAGCTCAGGGAATGTTATTTTAAAAATTGACTTTAGAAGGGAAAACTACAACAATGTTAAAAATCTTTTTACCAATAGAGCCTCCAGCCACTTACAAATCAAAAAATAGCCAATGAATTGAATTTATTCAGAGAGCTTCGTGACATTTGCTCATCCATTAACTTTAGAAACCATCTCTTTCCTTGAAAAGCTAAGATCTATGATTTTCTAAATAAGTAATCTCAAAAAAAAGATTATGCAATAACATATCTTAAAAACATATTGAAAGGAGAAATTAAAAAATATCCCTAATTTTATATGCTTTATATACGTAAACATGACCATAATCGTTCGCCTCAAAATCTTTGAAGAATAATAAAGCAACACATTTTAGCTCTGATCTCCCGATAAAACATCGATAGTTTAAGATTATCGATTGAGAAGAAAAATTTGAAATGAAGCCCTAATTCTAGGCCTTCGATGCATTAAAGTTACCTGACTTTGACCCGAATATTGAACCCTAACCCTAGATGCCTCATCCTCAATCGAAAGCGAGCGGTGTTGTTGATCATGATAGAAGAGGTGAAGTGGTGGAGGCAGTGGAGGAGGGGGGGTAGAGGGAGAGGAGGTTTGTGTAGATCACAGTGAATACGTTTGAAACGATGAGACGAAGAGGAGCACGAATTCTCTGGTCGACAGAGACGAAGAGGCGGAGCACGATTTTTCTAGGAGACGAACACGAAGAGGCGAGCTTGGGAATTGAAGAAAGGGGAAAAAACTGCTTCCTCGTAGTTAACGGCGGAATTCATTAGAGCAATGGAATTGAAGATGAATGTAGAAAAATCTGGAACCAAGCTATAATTACGGTACTGGTTTCAATTGCGGTACTAGGACCAAGCTTTAATAGCGGTGGGGGATTTTTTTTAAGAAAATTTTGAAAAAAGGATAATTTGCCACTTGGCGGTTTCAGGGGTAAGAGTTTTTATATATAGTATATAGATGGGCCAAAGTCTCTCGATGTGAAAAATTTCGTCGCTCATAATATTTGGGGAGAAGCTGGTAATTTTTCACAACCTTCATCATTTGATTTTTCTCTTTTTTCTAAGCTCATCTTCGATCAGCCCAATTCGTGGCCTCGGTTGGGATCTAGGGTTTCTGAACCTAGGGTTAATTGCTTAACTGCGGCTGGGTTGGATGTTTGGGTCAAAAGTTGATGTTTTCATTGCTTCGAATCTATTACAAGTTCAGTCGTTACAATAAACTCAAATAAAAAGAAAAATCGATCTTTTTATAAGATCTCCTTTATACAATAAAAATAAAGATTGTAACTCTTGTCAAACAGCGCAACGGATGTTTATCACCCGCTGCTTGTGTGGGATCTTTGCCTGTGCCGGGGACGTCGATATCCGTGGACTGCCTACGGATCGGATCCGGTTAACAAAAAATTGACAGAGCTCCTACTTCACCAAGGAAGTATTCGCTTGAAGGTCTGAAATCGACCAAGCGAAATCAGTAGCTCTTCTCGAGATTAAGACCAAGCCTAATCTCAAGGAACGGACAGGGGAATACGGGTTCAGAGCCTTCGAAAGCCTTCCTCTTTATGCTGAAGTTCGTCGGGATCTGACTTGTCCTCTGAAATTCGTGCTATACTCTCCAATTCGGCAGTTTTTCGCCCTCTTGATGTTCGCCCCTCGAAATGAGCCCTAGGCCTGTATTTATAGGCTTCGGCTGGGGGGTTTTCAGATAAGAATGAGTGATTTGGCCTTATCTTTAGTTAATAAAGACCTAATCACGTTTGTGGATGATATCAAGTCAGTTGGGAATGCCTGTAATAGATAAATCCTGAGAAAACAGCAGAAAACCGTCAAAAACCCGTCCAGGGGTCGAAATAGCGCGACAGGTTTTGCTGACCAACGGGGAGCGCGGGTCGGCGTGGTCTGACCCGCGCTTGCGCGGGTCAGACGGATAT